TTCTATAAAGGTTTACAACCTCGGAAACCCAAATGGGGTCACTATGAGTCAGAAATGACTCGATGGCAGCGAGTTTGGTGGGGTTTTTTTCCCTTTCCCTGTATCTAAGGAGCTCTGGTGGCATAGTGGTTAATGCATTCAGCTGCTAACCAAAAGGTCAGGAGTTTGAGCCTTCCAGATGCTCTATGGCAGATAATCAAGGCAATCTGCTTCTGTAAAGATTTACAGCCTTGGAAATCCTAGGGGGCAGTTCTACTCAGTCTTAAAGTGTCACCATGAGTCGTGGCAGTAGGTTGGGGTACACTGTATCTATTCCCCTTCTGTTAATAATAAAAACCAAAAACCAAACTCATTCCATTGAGTCAGTCCCCTCTCATAGCAACCCCCATCAGGGTTTCTGAGGCAGTATCTCTACAGAAGTAGATTGCCCAGTCTTCCTTCCCAGGAGTGTCTGGTGGGTTTAAACTGCCAGCCTTCTGACTAGCTGTCAGATGCCTTTGGCACTATGCCACCACAGCTCCTCCTCCTAATGATAGCATTTAAATTTTCATTTGGGGCCACCTTTCTCCAACTCTTTCTTAGCTTTGGATGCTACTGATTCTACTCCTGTCTGTTAAGCTGAGGCTCCAAAGTCTCAGTTGATTGGTTTAGGAGTTCACATATGACCCAGTCTAGGCCAATCAGAGTTAGGTCTGAGACTTTGTGAAGCCAACCCCAAAGATGACGGAGCTAAGAAATGGAGGGGGAAAATAAAGTCCTAAAAAAAAGTCTGAGCTCCTGATCTAGCCATGCCTAAACCAGATACAATCCCTTTCTCATTTTAGTCAGTTTTGAGTTTGATTTCTGTTACTTATCCTGGAAGAAGTCCTGACTGTTACATTATTTTATAATGGCAACATTAGATAGTGATCTCTGAGGGCCCTTCCATCACTAAGGTTCAGTGGGTATATAAACTCCAGCAGTAGAAACATATGGGAAACATTCAGGGGCCAACACTTTAAGAATAAACAATTCTTATGTAAGCTTATAAAGGGACAATTTTGCTGACAATGTACACATCTTAGATTTTAACATTTTCCTCTTTTTCCTTTAATCTTCTATGACCACATCACCATCGTAACATCAATCAGTGACCTTTAAGTTGCCTAAACCGGCATTTATCTTCCTTACCCTTCCTATTTCTCAAATTCAGGAAACCACCGATGGGGGCTGTGTTAAGGCTATTACCTAGGTCAGAAACCTTGCTGCTGTCTGGGTCACAGCCCCACTGAGTCACTGGCACTTTATAACCTGGCATACTGCTTTGAGTTTCTTTTGCTCTGATGTTTCCAAGCAGTTACTCCAATTGTGAAACCTAATAACTGTACCATCCTGTTATTCACACCCCGAAGATAAACAATACCTTACCTTGTCATAAAAGCCAGAGAGTGAAACAAATATGTCACCCACATGTAAGACATTAGAATGAAAGGGAAAAGAAGCTTTCTTCAACTTTAGGATCCAAGGATTGTGAATACAATGTCTCAGTCCAACTAACTGTAATGTGGGTTTTTCTTTTTTTTACTAATCGACCACAATTTATTTACTGATTACCCATATACTTCTCACTGAGACAGTCTGAGGCAGAAAAAAGAGCCCCAGCCTTCAAAGCCAGGTAACCCTAGAGCCCAATTTAATCATGGTAACCACATTTAATACTGTTCTCACTGAAAAAAAAAAAAGACACCAATTTTAGAGTTTGATAGTTTTTCAAACCTTGGAACTAATTTAAAATTATAAATCTTAGTCCTTACTGTGTGTGTTCATGGGAGTATGTTGTTGTTAGTTGTTATTGGGTCAGCACCAACTCACAGTGACCCCACGTACAACAGAAGGAAATGTTGTCTAGTCCTGGGCCATTTTCACGGTTACCAGTATGATTAAGTTCACTGCTGCAGCCACCGAGTGCCTTCCAACCTAGTGGACTCATCTTCCAGGACTATATCAGACAACAGTCTGCTGGGATCCATAGGGTTTTCATTGGCTAACTTTTGAAAGTAGATGACCAGGCCCTTTTCCCTAGTCTGTTTAGTCTGAAAGCTCTGCTGAAACCTGTCTACCATGGGTGAACCTGCTGGTATTTGGAATACTGGGGGCATAGTTTATAGCATCATAGCAACATGTCAGCACCACAGTATGACAAACTGACAGACTAATGGTAGTCATATGAGTATACACATTTCCATATATACCAATACTTTCTGAAAATCAATCTGATAAGAAATCCTCCTCTTCAGATTAACTGAAGCTAACATTTCTGCAAAACAAATCTTTAGACTGAGGCTGAAAGAATGGTAGTCTACTTGCCACCTGGCATTTTTCTAGCTCCTAAAACTCTGGGATTACAAACAGTTACTTATTCCCATGGCTGCTGGAATTTACATTAAAAGGCCTTGGTGCCCAAAAGGTGTGCTGCAGGTAAGAAAGATGAAGATAATGTTCCCTATGACCCACCCTGTTCTACTTAAACATTTACTAAGTTATAAGATTTAAGACAAAAGGGTTTTTTTTTTTTTTTGCTTCTGTCTCCTTGCATTCCCTACAACTTAACACATGACTTCTCAAATCAAAAGACTTGTCACAAACTAGATCTGCAATGCTTAATTTAGCACAGTGGTACAAAAGAAGGAAACACCCCTCGGCTGTCAATGATCATGTCATTCAGAGAACTTGGCCATGCAGAACATAGATGTTTATAAGATGACAAGAAGTTTCTAGATGGGCTGCTGTCCCTGTGCAGGTCATTTCTATCATGGGCACCTGGAATCAGTGACTGTTCCAAAATACAGGGAATTCCTCATATCCAGAGACAAATTTGGCAAATTAATTAATTGATTTAATCCTTGTAAAAATCTTATGAACTAAGAAAAATTGAGGTTTAAAAAGTAAACATAATTTTCAAAAGGGACCAGGTTTGCTGGTCTAATAGAGCCTGGTGGAACCACTGAGACTATGGCCCCTAACTACCCTTCACATCTGGAATTGAACCCATACCTGTGGTTTCCAGCCAAAAAAAAAAAAGATAGACATGAGCTGAACATTGACATTAGGTACATACACTCCTTGGAGAGATCAGTCATGGGAGAATATAAGGGCTGTGTATGCACAGGGAGACAGCTCGGAGGGCAGGAGTGCATGGAGGGAAGGACTCAGGGAAGACATAACTATGGGGAGGATGTGAGAGGGGAGATGTTACATTATGGGAAATTGCAGTCAATGTCATGAGACAAAGTGTATGTGAGGGGCTGTATGAAAAGTGAATTTGCTCTGTAAACTTTCACCCAAATCACAATAAAAATTTAAAAAAAACAAAGTATACATTATTTTCACAAGATCACACATCTAGAAACTAGTAGAGGTAGAATTTGAATCCAGGTCTGGCTAGAAAGAGATATTTAATTGTTCCACTTACTACTTTGGCGAGTAGCGACTGGGACCTTAAAAGCTAGGAAGCTGCTATCTAGATGCAACAACGGGTCTCTCCTCATCAAGAAGAAAGAAGAAAACCAAAATTAATGGAAACAATCAGTCCTAGCGACTGGTACACCATCCGATCTGCAAACTATACAACTATGAGACCAGAAGAGCTAGATGGTGCCCAGCTACCACTGCCATCCACTTGGAAGGGATGTAGGAGATCCTGCATAAAGAGGGAGAACAATGTGGAACAAAACTCAAAATCATTTGTAGGCAAAAAAAAAAAAAGAAGGTGGGGACCAGGTTTGCTGGTC